CTTCATGAACAAAAGAAAAGCATGAACAAAGTACAAACAAACTATGTACAAAGTTAAAAAAGGGACGCCTGGCAGATGTGAAACCTCGAAATTATATTTTGTTTAAGTTATATGCATAAAAGAACAGATTACGACAGGAATTAGATAGTTATAATGAGAAGATAAAGCTTTGCTAATTTTTTACCATAAAATAATGACTATTTATTATAATTATAATTATTCATTTTCAATTCATAATAAACCGTACAAAATGATATTTTTAAACTCATATATCACTATAAATTAGCCGATAGCGTATTTGTGCCATCTAGCGTAATCTTTAGGTACCATCGTGAGAATCAACCAATTTTCGTTCGATAAAATGACTTTACCTATAGAATTAGGTAGATGGCGCCATTAAAATTTTATATAGTGAAAAGTAGATAGAGAAACCTAAATGGAAATAACTAAAGGGAGTACTATTCTTTAAAATTTCTGTATTCTTTTGATTTATTTAATTAAAATTTGGGCTTAACGTTTTAACAGTGGTAGAGCCACGCGGCAGCTTTGCTGTCGCGCGTATGGGCCGGCTCAAACCGTGGTGGTACCACGACCTCACAGAATACCGGCGTGAAGTGGAAGCTTTGCTTCCGCGTTTCGTCTGGTGAGTGCAGGTGGCCGGAGGCCCAAATCCCCCCCCCCCATCAACATGGTAACGGAATTAAATGATAGACTACCCCAGGAGGGTACGAGCACCCCTGGAGAATCCCTCGCTGAGCATCCACGACCATGTTTCTCCACTTCTGAGCGTGGGTGCTCAGACGCCCCCATTCTGGGGGGGGGGGGGGCAATATTCCGCTCAAGACTAAAACTGCTCGGGGAAAACGGAGCAACAAGACCAAGGCGACCCCTGCCACGCTGTCCGTGAATTTCTGCAATATCAGGGGACTTCACTCTAACCTAAACGCCGTCCACTACCATCTCGAGACGGCGAGGCCGGCTCTGCTCTTTCTGACCGAGACGCAGGTGTCCTCTCCGGCTGATGTCTCGTATCTCTCCTGCCCGGAGTACAAACTGGAACACTCCTTTGTGCCTCGGGCTGGAGTTTGCGTTTACGTCAGAGAGGACATCTGTTCTCGACGCCTCGGCAGACTTGAAGGTTCGGACCTGTCCATCCTTTGGCTACGCGTAGACAGCGACGACCATCCGCGCGTCTACGGGTGCCTCTATAGGTCCCATAGCGGTAATGCCGAAACAGACCGACTCTTCGACCACGTCCAAATGGCTGCAGATTCGTTGCTACAGCAGATCCCCTCCGCAGAGATCGTGATCCTCGGCGACTTTAACGTCCATCACGCCGAATGGCTCGGTTCACGTTTAACCGATCATACGGGGAGATCTGTTCATGATTTTGCCTTGGCATATGGTCTGACACAACTGGTTACTTCGCCTACGCGGATTCCAGATGTGGAGGATCATGCACCTTCCCTGTTGGACCTTCTGCTGACCTCTCACCCGGACGGATATCAGATTTCCGTCGACGCCCCTTTAGGCTCCTCGGACCATTGTCTTGTCCGGAGTGTGGTGCCACTCACGCTGAAATCGCGGTTGCATTCTGCAGGCTGCCGCCGTATTTGGCACTATAGATCAGCCGATTGGGATGGGATGCGGTCTTTCTTTGCATTCTACCCTTGGGGGACGGGTTTGCTTCTCGCCGGACGATCCCAACGTTGTTGCGGATTCTGTCGCTGATGCGGTACTTCAGGGTATGGAACTTTTATTCCTTCCTCTGCGGTGCCCATTGGAGGCAAATCTCAGCCATGGTTTGGTCGCTCCTGTAAAATAGCATCATGCTATAAGCAGGAGTGCTACCGAGCCTGGGCTGACGCATCAGCGTCCAGGGATGTAAACACCAGCGCTCTAAAAAAGAAGTATAATTCCGCCTCTAGGTCCTTCAAAAGAGTCATTGCCAAGGCAAAGTTAGAGCACATAGGCAGAATTGGCGAGAGACTAGTTCGTCTTCCTTCTGGAACCCGTGCATTCTGGTCTCTCGCCAAGGCTGTCCAGGGGAATTTCTGTCAGCCATCTCTTCCATCTCTGCACAGGGAGGACGACTCACTGGCCCACACCGCAAAGGAGAAAGCCGATCTTCTAGGCTCTTTCTTTGCGTCTAACTCGACTCTCGATGACGGGGGGAGTACGCCGCCGACCATCCCGCGGTGTGAGTGCTCCATACCAGAAGTGCAGTTCACTCAACGCTCGGTTCGCAAAGCACTCCTCTCCCTGGACATCCATAAGTCGAGTGGGCCTGATGGAATCCCCCCAATTGTGCTGAGGACGTGTGCTCCAGAGTTGGCACCGGTTTTAACGCGTCTTTTCCGGTACTCCTACTCCCTAGGCGTAGTCCCAAAATCATATCGATCCTAATCCTCCCTCCACCTATCGCCATCACCTCCTTGTTCTCCAAAACAATGGAGTCCATTGTAAACTGCCAGCTCATGAGGTACCTTGAGGATCACCAGCTGATTAGTGACCTCCAATACGGTTTTCGCCGTGGTAGGTCAGCTGCTGATCTTCTGGTCTACCTAACTCACAGATGGGCGGAGGCAGTAGAGTCCAAAGGGGAGGCATTGGCCGTTAGTTTGGACATTGCGAAGGCCTTCGATCGGGTTTGGCATAAAGCGCTTCTTTCGAAGCTCCCTTCCTATGGGCTTCCCGAGAAATTGTGCGATTGGATCACCAGTTTTCTTGCAGATCGGAGCATCAAGGTCGTTGTAGACGGTGCAAGCTCCGATTGCAAGCTTATTAATGCTGGTGTTCCACAGGGCTACGTGCTATCGCCAACGCTGTTTCTTCTGCATATAAATGATATGTTGCAAACTCGTAGCATTCATTGCTATGCAGATGACAGCACTGGTGATGCTCTTTACACCGGCCGAGCCAATATTTCTCCGGAAAACGTCTCTGAGTGCCGGGACAAACTTGTGTCTAAAGTCGAGTCTCTGCTGGACAGAGTCTCGGATTGGGGGCGACTAAATCTAGTCCAGTTTAACCCCCAGAAGACACAAGTTTGCGCGTTAACCGCTAAAAAGAACCCCTTTGTCGTATCCCCTCAGTTTCAAGGCACTTCCCTTGTTGCCTCAGCCAGTATCGGAATCCTCGGCGTCGACATATCGAGTGACGTGCAGTTTCGTGGTCACTTGGAAGGGAAGGCCAAATTGGCCTCTAAAAAGCTTGGCGTGCTCAGCAGAGCGGGACAGTATTTCATGCCGGCACACCGCCTGCAACTTTACAAGGCGCAGGTTCGGCCGCACATGGAATACTGTTCCCATCTCTGGGCTGGGGCTCCTCAGTACCAGCTCCTTCCACTTGACCGCATCCAGCGCAGAGCGGCTCGAACCGTCGACGACCGAGTGCTTTCCGATCGGCTCGATTCACTGGCGCTGCGAAGAGATGTTGCATCTCTTTGCGTATTTTATCGCATCTATCACGGGGAGTGCTCTGAGGAATTGTTCAGATTAATCCCAGCCGCCAAATTTCGTGAACGCACTACACGGCAAACGTCCCGATACCATCCACACCATCTGGATGCTTGGCGGTCCACCACTGTACGTTTCAAAAGGAGTTTTCTTCCGCGCATCGTTTTCTTTCATCCTCTCTGTGGAATAATTTACCACCGGTGATTTTTCCGGACCGATACGACCTGGGGACCTTCAAGAAAAGAGCTTACTCCTTTCTAAAGGGCCGGCAACGCACCTGCAATTCCCCTGGTGTTGCGGTTGATCATGGGCGGCGGTAGTCACTTAACATCAGGTGAGCCACATGCTCGTTTGCCCCTCTTCTATAAAAAAAAAAGATTGTAACACTTATTTCCTCTAAAATTAAACCTAGGTCTCATACTTTATGCTGCTGTTCAAATTGATATTTTTAATTCGTATGGTAATATAAATATTGAGTTATTAAACCTTTCAATACGCCTAACTTAATTAAACTTTAATACTAAAGAGTCCTGTACCTATATTCAAAGTATGAATAAATGTTTATTGAATATAAAATTTCATTTTTAAAGATTTTTACCTTTTCCTCGCCAATTAGCGCTTCAACACACATATATTCATCACAATAAACACTATTATACTCCCATTTTCACTGAAAATCTTCGAAAAAGCATAAAATTTTAACAAACACAACAAAAAACAAACATAAACATTGAAATGTGAAGTGAACTTGCATACGAGGGGCCCGCAACCACTTCGCTAGTCGCTATCGCACTCATAAACAACTTCATGGCAAAGGCAGGCTTTTTGGCTCAATAGTAATTTCTATATAAACATTTCGTAGTTAGATTTCATTATAGAATATTTTGCCATAAGTTAGAAAGAGAGCGATCGTCTTCTCGAAAGTCCTGTAAAAAGCCCACGCGAGCGAGGGAGACAACTAATCGCTCTATTAAAACTCACTTTATGACAGCAGCAGTGTCGCCACAGAGTACCTTTGTATAAACGTATCGTTAAGGCAATACGAGGTCATCGGTCGACATGTATCGAACAGTGGAGTGCGCGGGAAAATTGAAATAATTTGAAACAGTTTATGAGTTATTTTATTAGTACATTGAGTGATATTATTGATTGATTCAGTTTTAATAAGGCAAGCCCGGCTTTTCGGCTTTAATAGAAGCTTCGCCACTGTACCTACCCCTAGTTTATGATTATAATAAGATTTCCTGATTATCGATAGATCTGCAATGCACAAACTCAAGAACCTTTCTTCCCTATTTTATTAATAAAATCAATTTCACCTTATATTATTTAAATTATAAATTGGTCCCTAAGTGAGGGCTGGTGATCTTACATACGGGGAATCCTAGTGTAGACCCCAGTCACTCAGTTTGATTGCAGCGTATTAATATTAAGCTGTATATTATATTTACTTCTTGATTTGTGAGAGAAACGAAAAATCTTTTTAGTTATTTTTAGTTAATCATCATTATAATTGAACAAACAGTGTCTTTTCTTTTACAGAAATTCAAATATGTGATCAGAAGACGATACGCATTCAAGCCGAGTGCGAACGCATTGCTCAAGAGCGCACGAACGTCGATCGTTCGTTACGTTCGCTACGAGGGAGACTTGAAGTTATTCAGCGCACACGCAAAGACGCGGTCGAGCGCAATGCCGGTGCACAGCGCACGAACGCTGCTATCACACATGAATACACAGCTAGCCTTAAGGTTAGGAAAAAAAAAACTAGTAGCTAATTAATTTACGCGGTGGAGCCATGCTGCAGTTATGTTATGGTTGTAGCACAAATTCAATACCTATTTGTACGCCGCGTGCGTTACGAGGTCATTGGTCTCGTGAGGTAAAAGTTAAATATCATAACTGGTGGAGCCACGCTGAAACGTGTCATGGCTGCGGAACGTATGGACAGTATACCAGCGTGGAATAGGAGCTTAATGCTGCTCTTTCGTATGGTAAGTGTAGAGAACTGGAGACACTTTTTACTGAAACCGAGGCATTACATCCTAGTCCTCAAAGGTGAGAACGCAACTGCATTTAGATTCTTAATTGAGGGTAGATGTAAATATATCTATGGGTCACAGCAAAGCATTTGTCACCCTTATATTATCATTAAATTAAATTTCATCAAATAATGTGTAGAGTAAAGTAAAGTAAAAGTGAGTGCTTAATTTACTGTATAGTGACGGTGTTAGTATATATATTACCCCATATAGTCTCCTGGGTCTCGTAAGAGGCGGCAGAAGAGAACTGAAATAAAAATGAGCAGTAGCATCTTCCTGATAACGTGTCAAAATAATAAAAACTACGGTTGTTAACCAGTCTGCCAAGCTATGGCAGCTGTACCAGCTATGGAAAATCTCCCCTATGAGCAGTGGCGAAACCTCCATACAAGCCCAGAAACCCGGCTTGCCTTATGAAGCTGAATCAATCAATAATATCAAGTAATAAAATAACTCATAAACTATTTCAAACTATTTCAAATTTCCAGCGTGCTCTGTGCGACCTCGTAGCCTTAGGAATACTGCTGTCATACATATAAGGAGAGTTGAATTGAGCCATTGGTTGTCTCACTCGCATACGTGGGCTTTTTACCGGGTTTTCGAGAAGGCGATTGCTCCCTTTCTAACCTGTGGCAAAATGTTCTATAATGAAACATAACTACGATTGTATAAATAGCAATTAGTATGGAGATAAAAAGCCCGGCTTTTAGTGACCATCAATTTTTTTCCTCAGAGCGGGACGCCTTTAAAATTATTATAGTTTTAACACTTTTGACTGCCTTCTTGGTCTAATGGTCGTAAACGCAATTGCTGATCATGTGGTCCCAAGTTCGAAACCTGAGTCGGGTCAAGAATCATTTATTGGGTTTTTCTGTCACAAAATTCTCAGTAGCGGTAGTATTACACTTGGGCAATATAATCCAGATCGCAGATGGCTATTTTCCGTTGAGAATGGCCTTGTTACCAAAATTCAATCTGAAGCCCTTTAATATAGGTTTAAAAATAAAACACATAGTTGTTTGAATCTTTTAATGATCTAAAGTGAATTCTGAACATCAAATAAATACTAATTGGAAATAACTTACGTTATTTGATAATTTAATGTAGATTAATTAAAAATTGTCACTTTGTACCTTTTAATTCAAAAGTGTAGCTTTTCAGAATAATCACGTAACTATACAAGCCATGCTGGCAAATATGGTACGCGCGGTGTCACAATGATGGCACGGGTGACAGAGTTGGCATGATTGTCACGCTTTTGTTTGTCAAAGCGGGACATTTTTACGTATTTTGGGGACAGCGCAACACAAACCTTTAAATCGGGAACGTCCTGCCTAAGGGGGGACGTCACGTTAGGCATGAAGTTAGTCGAGACACAGGCGTGCGGGCGACGCCGACGATATGTTTGCAAGTTCACGTCACATTTCAATGTTTACATTGTGTGTTAGCTTGAGCGAATATATTATAATGTAAAATATTGTGAGTTGAAAATAACAGATTTTTAGTGAAAATGGAGAAAGAAATCTTTGTGATGAATATAAGTGCGTTAAAGTGCTAATCGCGAGAAAAGGTAAAATATTTAAAAATAAAATTTTAATTCAATAAACATTTCTTCACACTTTAATAGGTACAGGGCTCTTTAGTATTAGAGTTTAATTATTCTAGGCGTATTTAAAGGTTTAATAACTCAATACTTATATTACCATATGAGTTAAAAATATCATTTTGAACTGCAGCATAAAATATGAGATACCTAGGTATAAGTTTAATTTTATAGCAAATAATTGTTACAATCTTTTTTATGTGAAGCCCAAATTTTAATTTAATACATTAAATGAATACATCATGTATTGAGGTTTTTAAAAAATATTTCCTTTAGTCTTCAGTATATTAAATTTTAATAGCGCCATCTACTTAATTCTATAGGTGAAGTCATTTTATCGAACGAAAATTGATTGATTCTACGGTCATATAACATATCTAGCAGTAGTATGCCTTCTGTGTGCATTGTTAAACACGTCCTCGACAGCACTGAATATGAAACTAAAGAGTGGAGATAGATCAAGATTGATGTATTTTTATAAAACTGCTAAAAACAACAAAACCATATCTTGGGCTTGCCCTAGTTTGGAACCCTAGCTTCGCCACTGCCTATGAGGCAATCTATGGAAGAGGTTTATGTTATGCATTGGACATTTATAGACTGTAATGAATTGATTTATTTAGCGAGTTGAATTTATTCGTTTTTCAGGATGCAGAATCAGAAATATTTGAGTTAGAAGAGGATATAGAGGCTCTGGAAAAAGAGAAGATAAACCTGACACAAGAATTAGATCGAGTTCAAAGGGAAGCGTTGATTTGGCAGAGAAAGGTAGAATTCGTTGATATAATTAATTTTGTAAGAAATTGCATTATAAGTAACCCGTGGCGAAGCCTGCATAGAAGCCCAGAAGCCGGGCTTTTCTATAAAACTGCTCAATCAATAATATCAACTAATAGAATAACTCGTGGTCATAGAAGTAAAAGTATAAACAAGTAAAAACCACAATCTTTAAACAAAAGAAAGAGTTACTTTATTTATTTTATTTTATCGAATTAGTTATTTGAAAATAAATGTAGTGTCCTTGCAACCTCTTTTATCAGAGCAGTTCAATTTCAATTAATTATTGATAAATTATATTGACAACTAAAATCATGGTCTACAATAACAGCATTGGTAGTTGTCGTAAAACGCGACAGATGGAAACTAACCAGATGAGCGGCAGAAACAAAAGAAAAAACTGTAATTGACAACTCGCCTGACAAGCGTGGCAACTATAGCAAATATCCTATGTCTATGGGAAGTCTATGTTCAGAATGGGCTGTTGTAAAAAACATAAGTCAATGAAACCTCATTGGCTGTTTTTTTTTGTTTTCTCTTAATTCTCTCAGAAATAAGAAGAGTTACCAACAGTGGACATATACATATAAGCTGCTACTTTACCATAGAAATTCCACATGTTTTCAGGGTATTCTTGCTGTAGAACTGAAACGTAGCATACAAAACTCCAAATCCGCTGCAGGAGAAATCGGACAGATGAAAAATGAGATACACAAAATGGAGGTATGTGACTTATTTTTCTGATGCATATAATGTACTCTTGCATTTTGACACAGAATTAAAGATAATTCACAGAAAAAAAGGATAACTGTAAGACATTTCATCTTAGTCCGCAGGGTAATAACACGTTGGCAGCCTTCTTGTTTTAAGTTAAATACACGTGTCCATGGACTGTAGTGGCCACTTACAATTGGATTAAGTTCGTTTGCCACTTCAATTTTACCACTGGTTACATAATATGTGTAACTTTTTGTTACCTACTGAAGGGGCCCGGTTGCGTTACGAACAGAAATCCCGGCACCCCTCGTATATCTCGCGAAGTTATAGAATGGGATTATTAACGGCGTGCTTCTATTTACCTCTCGCTTGCACACTGTGTCTATACTTAAACCCGCCGGTAACGGCAACAAAAAAAACTTATGCATGTGCAATAAACGTTTTTTGCCTTTTATTGCTTTTAACTTCCGACCTAAGTAACAGATAGGAACCGTTCAATATACAGTTATGTTTAGTATTCTTTTTTTAATAGTCTTTATAATTACATAACTTAATTTGTTTTGTAAATTGATTATTAAAATATTGCGGTAACAATTTCATTTTATTGCAAAATTGTGTATGCCAACAGCACAATCTCGATGAGTCGCCATTTCCAATCCCATTCTTTATCCGCACGGGTAATTTTTTTTAAATTTATTCTTATAAATAGTGTACATTATTTACGTTGTAAATTTTGCGAAACTGTAAGCCAGTTTGTCGGCAACGCGACAGTTTATCGTTTCACACTCTCTGGTACTTATAAATACTTAAATTAACACATAAATCATTAAAGAAACATTATGGACACTATGGACACAACGACAGATAATGTTTCCTCAAGATGGATTTGAGCTGCGACTTAGTTACGCTTTAGTCATATATATCCGAGACCTCATTACACAAAGTTGGAATTCCATTCCCTTGTACGCCGTCCAAAGTAATTTTCAGCCCTATGTATGAGATATTTCCTCCTTTGTGTAATTTGGCGCTTCGGCATTATATATGTCTTAGGTTTCTTAAATGTTACCATACCATGTTGTTCTAATATGATGATGGATTTTACTTTCATATCTATGGGAATAATTTTGCAAATTTTAAATAACATTTCGTAATTTTTATCTAGAGCATTTTTCGTTTTAGGATCAACTAATATCTTTAAGAATCTTGTCTGTATAGAATTTATTTTGTTAAGATATGTTGGAAATGTAAGTTCATATGCACCTAAGCCATATCCGATCATTGCGTCTGCTAGGGTAGGATTGGTCTATGACGCTAATTGCCCATTGTCAGGTTTTAGCCGTCAGAAGTCTGGTAAAATCTTTTCATTGCTCCCGCAGCGGATTGCATGAGGATTTCCTCACGATAAAGGTGTCCATAGACTGCAGTGGCCTTGCCCACTGTGAGGTTTTAGCCGTCAGAAGTCTGGTAAAATCTTTTCATTGCTCCCGCAGCGGATTGCATGAGGATTTCTTCACGATAAAGGTGTCCATAGACTGCAGTGGCCTTGCCCACTGTGAGGTTTTAGCCGTCAGAAGTCTGGTAAAATCTTTTCATTGCTCCCGCAGCGGATTGCATGAGGATTTCCTCACGATAAAGGTGTCCATAGACTGCAGTGGCCGCTTACAATCAGGTAGACCGTAAGGTCGTTTGTCACTTACAGTTTTATATAAAAGTACCTATTGTAAAGTGCAATCCCGACAATCGTAACAATGAATATTTTCCTTTGACTATACTCTATTTATGTCTGTAATTACTCCACATTTTTCTTTTTTGGACAACAATTTTGGCATGTGGATTAGAAATCCACTACCAGACTATCTACGTAGCTTTATAGGCGTGTTAATATAATAGGTACGCCGCGATCAACTCCGTCGCACCGGCGAGAAGTTAGCGGAAGATCTAGCACTGTACGTGACGAGACGGGAGACCGCCGTGGACAAGACTCGTGCTGCCGCCGCTGTGGAAAAGGCACACGGGGGCTCCACACTAACCTCGCAGTCCACTTTCCACCACAAGTTGCGACTAGCACGGGCCGACGTCACCCGTCTCAATAAGGTGAGTATTATACCGTTACCGTTACGGCCTACCAAAAGTCCACTGCTAATAGGCCCCCCCATAGATTGCATCATAGGAGGATATTTACCATAGTTTGACACCTGGCAACCGCAGTTTTTATTTTTATTTTTGCAGTTGTGATATGAGAGATTCTGTCAATCTTCTGATTTGTTTCCCTCTGTCGCCTCCTATGATACACATGTTACGATATGGGGCAGTGAATATTTTACACCGCCACTACACAGTCAAGGTAGGTATAGCTTAGACGCAAATGTGATGCGCCTTAAAAAATACACGAGGCGCCGAAGTCATGCGCTCTAATAATACGAGATCGACACTGAAAGTTTTTAGAACTGGCCACTTGTAAACGATATAATAAAAAATAACTTCAAATTTTGAAAATGGAGCTCTTTGCCAATATTATTGTGCCTATGTATTTTATTAATTTGTCATTTGATTACGATTTTGCGGCAAATTGAAAATCGTCTGTGTCACGTCAGCATGTATTTAACGCGAGAAAATTTTCGTACAATGATTTTTGATGTCATTTAAGTCAACAAGAAAGTTATGATAGAATTCGATTGGCCTTTCACGATGAAGCCCCATCATCTCGTACCACTGTTCACACCTGATTTAATGAGTTTAAACGTGGTCGTACTAATCCCACCGATGATTTGCGTGAGGGACGGCTCGGACAATATCTTTTAGAATCTAGAAAAGGCCCGTGCATAACAGCGGGACGTAGTATACATAGCCTGGAAATTTTAATTTCACAGGAGTTGAAAGAGGCTAAATCGCACATGGAGTATTTGGAGAATGAGCAAGCACGTCTAGAGCGCGAGATGGCGGACACGTCGGCATTGAACGCGCAATTAGAAGAGCACGTTGCAACGCTGTTGCAAGAATGTCGTGATACAGAGAGGCAGAAACAATGGGTGAGTATTTTTATTACTTTAAAGTAACAGTCCACCTGATAGTAAGTACGACTGCGACAGCCCTAAGAACTAAGTTGGAAATGCCTGAGTGGAAATTTCGCCACAATATTTTGCGATCATTTCCATAAACCGCTTTTTATGCCATCAAGGTAATGATGAGATGAAGGTATTGGATGGAAATGCTTATGCCACCACCACACAGTGAAGACCCTACAGTCATAATCATATATTATTCGTAAGATTAAATAATTATCTCGATCTTTCCAGCTCCTCGAAAGAGTAGTTAGAAGTCAGCGTTACGGCAGCGAATTGGCCACAGCCGTGAAACGACAAACACTGCGCGTAAAGAAACCTAAGTCTGCTGTTACTGCAGAGTACACCCAGACTCGTCTACTCAACGACAGCCTCAACCAAGTCGTGAATGCACTGAGCATAGAATATCCAAGCCTCAGGGACAAATTGGAAGCGATCAGCAACACCCTGAACATTCATTCGCCGAGCCAATCTCCGAGGCTTTCTTTGGACGAATGCGTGTGTCCTGAAGTAATTGAGGGTCAGGAAAACATTGCTGAGAAGCCCCTGGACTCTTGCCCCTGTCCTGAGTGATATAGTTATCACACAATCTCAATAAAGTATCAACATAACTAGTAACTTAATTAATATAATAACATTTGTAATTTATATAAAAAATTCTGTCATAATTCTCCGTGATTTATTGCAATTATGAGTTGTCAAATAAAAAACTTAAAAATGACTGAGAATCATCTATTTTACTCCCTCATATCCTTATTTAGGTATATATATATATATATAATTATATAAATTACGTGTCACGTTGTTTGTCCGCGATGGACTCCTAAACTACTTAACCGATTTTAATCAAATTTGCACACCGTGTGCAGTTTGGTCCAGCTTGAGAGATAGGATAGTTTTTTTCCCATAGTACTCAAAAATTTAATAAATGATTCTCGAAAAGGGCAGAAAATTCTAGCTAGTATATATATATTATACAATCCGCTCCATGGGGGAGATAGGAGAAACGTTGTTAAAATTTGATGGAAGCTCATCTCTTTGATGGAAAATCAGAAAGTTGATGGATGCTGGTGGCTCAAGACCATGTCTTGTGATGATGAAAGAAAAAGTCCTTCAGATATCTAATATATGTATACCCGAAAGCAGCACCATCGTACACTGGTGGTGTTACGTGAGTCTATGCTGTACAAGAAATTAAATAGTAATTTTGGCAGATGTATGGGTATGTATGTAGATATTTTCATTAAGTTAAACACAGAAATAACAACGTATATTTTTTAATTTACTAAGAAACAAATGTGTAATACATCCTTTTAAATAATCTCTTATAATAATTTAGGTTAATTAATGCACATTTAAGGAAAAATAAATCTTTAAAAATTCTAAACTCGTCACGAATTCTTGAAAAAGGATTATACGTAGCAGTAAATGAAAGTAAGACTGTTAAAAAAGTAAAGGTTATAATAGTATATAATACAAAAAAAAAAATTTTTTTTCAGTCTTAATTAGCAGTACACTACTTTACTTTTCTTCATAAACAAAACCAGCATTTCAAACAGTCTTAGGGAAAAAGGGCAATCAATTATAGTGTTTCTTACACGTACGAGGTACACTTAAATTACCAGGTTATGATTTACAATGCTCAGAACTTGCCTCTAGATAGATATCGGATCCATCTTGAGGCTGACATTCAGCGCTTCGGCCTGAAGCTGCGCAGGATATCCGAAACTCCGTATCACTATCCGTTGCATCTTTATTTCACATGCACAGCCCGAACAGACATTTTTATTCAATAAAAATGGTAAACTGACAGAAATATCAACGAAAAGCTTTTTTTAGGATTATAGTTTCTATTAGTTTAAGTAATATAATACATATAAATATACATTATTAAAAATTCATTTGGTAAGTGTTTAATATGAAACTTTACAAACAATATTTAAATTAGGTTAGGTTCCCGGTTAACTAGAAATAGCCCAATGGCAAACACAAACAAATGCAATGACACAAATTTGCATCAGGTTTCCATCTGTAGTTATACAATATATATACATGATATAAATATGTTTACGTAATCATTTCCAAATAATAAATTATCCCACAAAAAGTTAGATAAAATATAATTAAAAAGGAGCATTACATGCAGTACAGATACCGTCGCAAAAGACGGTGTTCCCAGATTTTAAAATTGTATTTTCAGCAAATTATGTGAGAAAACCATGTAACAGATATAAGAAAAATAAGAGGATAAGCAGTAAATTACATATTTTTTTTGTTGTACAAAAGTCATGGAAACATAAACCTTGCTAACAAAAATATATCCGTCTCATTCTCACACGTCATAATTTTCAAAAGTAATAATATTAGACTTCAATTTTCTGTTGACAGTTTTCATAATGTCACCAAGCTTCACATGAAGCATGCCGCCGTTTTACATCAATTTGTGGTAGTTCGTATGTCATCTAAGCGTAAGTAATTTTCAGTGTTACAGTGAATTTTGACTACTTTGGTTCTTTTTTTTTTTTGTTGATTTGTAAAGGATAATTGAGCAAAAACAACATGACAAAGTGTGTCATCAATGGATGTAATTCAAATTCTCGTAAACATGAAGGATTGTAATTTTTCAGGTTAGTTGTAATCTTTTTCCATAATCGTTTATATTTTTCGTGTGAATTGCGTTTCCTGCTCATATTGTGGGTTCTAGGTCTGTCTATGTTTTCCTTAATTATCTAGGTTTTCCAATGACTATTATCATGTAAAATTAAACAAGTAAACATTTTGCTTATTTACATTTACTTACCTTTGCTTATTGCTTACCATAGGTGTAAATCTAAGAAAATAGTTTTATATCAATAATTTATACATGAATTATAATTTAATTTAAAAAAAATTAAATTATAATTTCTACATAGAAAGAATGAATGAGGAAAGAGTGACAAAGAAAATTTATGTTGCAGAAGTGAATGGCAGAGTCGGAAAGGGATGTCCTAGGCGAAAATTTATCGACCAAATTGGCGATTTATTGAAAACGGGCCAAATTAGGAGTACCCTTAACCGAAGAGCATGTATGCGTAGGTGTATGGATGTGAAGGAGGCGAGAGAGGTGTGTCAGGATCGTGCCAAATGGAAGTCTGTAGTCTCTGCCTACCCCTCTGGGTGACAGGCGTGAGTGTTTATGTATGTTTATGTGTAATTTATACATAGTGTTCACCTTGCGTGCCGATGTGTTTTAAAATTATTGATATAAAGTTTAACAATAATATTGATATAGTCCTATGATCAAATAACGTTTTAGATATCTAAACTGTATATTTAAGCAAACGATCGTTCGAGAGATTATCATTTAAGGAAAGAACTTGAAAATAGTGTAAATCAAAAATTGTCTATAATAGTTTTTTTCATCAAAAGATTTGATGAGGTTAAGATTATTTCATTTGTACTTAAGGATGCTTAATATTTATTTTAGGTTCCCAAAGAAAAAAGGCCTTTCAAAATTGTGGATTGATAATATAGGCCAGAAAAACATATAACTGCAGTAATAAGAAAAACATGCTCCTTGCATTTTGAAAAAGAATGTATAAACAGAACACTGGGTGTAGTTCGGCTTAAGAATAATATGGTTCCTTCTCTTTTCCCTGTAAATAAAGTAGGTATATTTTCCGTTAACAAGTTGAACGTAACGTGTGAAGCCAGAGTCCGTTGATTAATGTTTCATGCCTGGTAATTATTGAGGGTTGGGTTTGAAAGTACATCGCCAGAATTTGAGGATTCTGTCACTGTGGGGGTGTCAAGGGGGTTTATTTGAAGCACCCCACGCGATTGTTTCTGCCGGAGCAGCGTCGAAGTTTATTTTTAATTATTCTTTAAAAATATTGGTAAATAACTAAACGTGAAATGGAACGAACGTTTTTGACGTTGCATCTGTCAAAGTCATATCAAAATGCGTAAAATGAATCGCTAGGCCGGCCATTTTGTTGACAGTGACTTTACGTAATTCCGTTGCTTCCGAGTTTACGTGAATGCGCTCCTTAACGTTTTTATCTGTCTCCTCCTGTTTTTCGACGACTTCGCTACACCACTGGACACCGTTTGCTTGCTATTTTTCAACGACTTGGCCTACAAGCAACCTTTGTCGACATTACCGACCGAGATTCGGAACTAGGGTCGTTTACGAGCTTAGGGTTGGGTGGAGCTGTAACTGCGACTGAATTGACAGTTCCTGATCACCAGTTATTCGTGGATGACGGGCCGTTTGTTGATCGACGTTTCAATTCGGACGAAGTGATTAAAATGTGTAATTTATGAAAAATATTCAAACACATATTGAACTGCCGAACAATATACGTAACTAGCCATTCAGCAATTTTACTAGCTATTTATTTACTATAATGCTTTTATTTTTGTTGTTATGTTATTGGAATAAATAATAGTAATAATAGTAACATTGGGATCCATGACCAGTGTGTTGTTTTTGCTGAAGCGAATGGATTGGTGCACTCTCAAAAAATATGCCGCACGCACCGTACACCATATACTGGCAAAATTGGCTAAAAAATCGTTTGGTGCTTGAATTTGCACGAAAAGGCAATGTAAGCTAAAAGGAAAAATATCACGGAAAGCTGGAACATTTTTGAACATGTGCACGTATTTTATTTAATATATGCTTAACCTCACAAATGGAGCTACGAAATGACGATGTACAAGGAAGAGAGAGGATTGACGGCAATGCATAGTTATTTACCATTTGGAAAAAATAGAGAAAAGTGGAAAAATTGGAGGCCCAGGAAAAGTTGAGTCAAAATTTGGAAATTTGAAACGGAAATTGTTCTCCTAAACTTCCAATTACGGTAATTTTAGCAAATTAAGTTTGTTGTAGGACGCCATATTGAGGGCCATTGGGTCCTTGGAATGATTGAGGATGGGTCTGAGGATCTGCGATTAGAGGTGTGCTCTGACAACATGATTCCGTTGAGGTTTTGGTGCCCTAATTAAAAAAAACATATAGAGATAGGCATCACAATTCATACAAAATTTTTGGAGAGCATGTGACTACCTAGAGGAACATAGGTACACCCACAAAAAAGTGAACCACTCGGACCTTGACAATCCATCCGTGGCTTCAGACGGGACACATACACAAAGAATTGAGTCACAATGGAGAGCCGTGAAACCTTTTTTAAAAAAAAAGACAATTATAATCAACCAGAGAATTTTGCTGATGCCATAGTCGAGTATTTGTATCGGCGGAACACTGCTAAATTTCGCAAAGATCCTTTTTTAAAAATGGTGGCAGCTATAAATTGTGCTTATAAATAAAAGTAATTATAAGAGTTAGTATAGATCGCGGCACGTAAGTTGAACTACGACCTTGTATACGCAGTAACACATTTTCGGGTCTCAATCGAAGTGTGGTATGAAGTGCGCCGCAAGGGGACGCGCGTAACCAAAGCAACGTGGCGGCGCAAGGCCCCACTCAGTCGCACTCTGTCCCTCGCTACCCGCGTACTCACCGCGCGGCCCTAGAGTACAATCGCGTACGAAGTTTTCAACTCTTTGACATTTATAATTCTGTCGATTGCGTGATTATTTAATTTAATTTAAAAGAATGACTCGACCACAACCAACTTTTAAGGAGACAGGGGAGAAGAATGATATTTGATGTTTATAATTATTTTTTAAAAGAAAATAATATAACTGATTCTCTGAATAAAACTGGGGAAGCTACGAAAAAGTTTGTATCCACAGTTAAAAGGATTGTTAAAGAAAGTAAAAGTTCAGAGTTTATAGTTACTTTTAGGACCCCTGGTAAAAAGAGGCAACGAATAAAGCCAGTCACAGGCATAGACAATTTTGACAAGGGGGTAATAAAAAGATTTATTCACAATTTTCATCTAACTGAAAACGAATTACCGCCACATGGTAAAATTTCGTGCAAAATTACGTGCCGATATAAAATTTTAAGGTTCTGAAAAAAGTCTTCGTCGCATTATTAAGGAACTTGGATTTGAAATTGGAAATGGAAAGCCACCGAGAATAATAGGAAAGTTTTAATAGAAACATCAGCCATCAGATTGTTAAGAATAAATTACTTAGAAAAATTAAGACAGTATCGACAACAAAACAGAGCAATTGTATATACAGATGAGTCATATGTTCACGCCACTCACACCACACCAAAGGTTGGTCAGATGGGTCAAGTAAAGGAATAAAAAAACCCTTATCAAAAGGGCAACCTGTTGTGATAGTACATGCCGGATCGGAGACTGGTTTTGTGCCTAACGCCTTGTTAACGTTCAAGTCAGGTATGAAGTCCGGGGACTATCACAACGATATGAATTTTGAGAATTATGACAAGTGGATTCGAACTCAATTGATACCGAATCTTCCCCCAAATTCAATTATAGTTGCAGACAATGCATCATACCATAATAAGGAATATGAATTAGCACCAAACGCGAATTCAAGGAAAGCTAATATGCAGGCTTGGCTTTCAGAAAAAGGAATAACATTTACGTCTGAAATGTTGAAGCCTCAATTATACCAATTAATAAAAAATAACAAAGATCGCCTCAAAACATTTAGTATAGACAAGATTTTTAAAGAACATGGTCATGACGTACTTCGCCTGCCTCCCTACCACCCAGATCTGAACCCTATAGAAATGGCATGGGCAGCTATAAAGGGTTATGTAAGTAGCAAAAATGTACGATGGAATGTGCCCCGTGTCATAGTTAGTGAACGAAAAGATAAATGCAATGGGACCATGTGATTGGATAAATCCTTACCACCACTTATACTTATAAGTAAGCAGATATCACAGGCAGGGGCTGGTTAGGTATACTATAAAAGAAATGTCATTTACTTAATTTTTGACAATACCTATTTGTTTATGTAGTGTTATTGTATATTCTTTCAGTTTTTATTTGTTTTCAGACTGACAGTGTCTATTATATTCCCATCCCATTTTGTGGAATCCCAAGCTGGTCCCTCGCAAATAATTGCTGCGAAACCACAAGCA